AAAAGTAGGACAAGAGGAAGTGTTAGTCACTATTCTATCGCTGCGAGGAGACACCATGACCACGACAACCCTTAGGAAAGAAAACATTTATTGGACGTTTGCTTACAGTTTCGGAGGTCTGGTCCATTAATATTGTGGTAGTGAGCATGGTGGCATGCAGGCAGGTGCTGCGGCCGTAACAGAGCTGTCTTGATCCACAGGGAGATTCTGGGCTTGGCATTGGCTTCTGAAACCTTAAAGCCCATCTCCAGTGACAAGGCCACACCTCCTAGTCCTTTTAATTCTTTCAAGTAGTACCACTCCCTGGTGGCCAAGCATTCAAATGTTTGAGCCTACGGGGACTGTTCTTATTCAAACCACCACAGGGAGGCTGTCTGGTTAGAGGGGACAGCACCCTGCGGCATCAGGAAGGGTGTGGGCAGACACTAAATAAAGTGTTCCGTGTACTAGAAGCGAGGGTGGAGGTTGGAGTGATGGGCACGGAGGAGTCTGGCTGAGCAGATGTTAGCTGCACCCCTTCCCTCACCTTTACAGTGGGGTAACAGTAGGGCCCTGGGGATGGGTGGAGGCCTTCCAGCTAATGAACTTAAAGGTGCTTAGCCCAGTGTCTGGATAACTGTATACTGATAACGGAATCAGTACGGAGTAGGTGACGTGCGTGAGGACCGGCTGAGGCCAGAGAGGCCGGCTACAGACCCACCGAGTTGAGGGAGTTACTGCCAGGATCTGCAAACATGACCTCGAGCTTCCTCGCGGCCACATGAAAAAGGGTGATGTGATATTACAGATCATGGATTATCAAGATAGAGGAAGCAGCACTTCTTCAAGGGAAGCCTTGTTCTTTACCACAGTTTCCTCCAGGGTATTCCTCCGTGGGCACCTGGGAGAGAGCAGTAGCACGGGGCAAGAACGCTACAGCTCTGTGGGGTGACTTCCACGAGATTTCTGCTTACCGAGAGCGAGGAGGGGAGGCAGCTCAGAGAAGGCGTATTTGTGGGAGACAGACACGGGGAGGGCCTGAACTCTGAGGACTCAAGGCTAAAGCTTGGAGGCTTGGAGCAGGTGGGACTGGGGCTGCCCTCTCTCCAGAGCAGTGGAGAAGTGGAGCATCCTAGGGGTCAGGTTCTGCTCACACTCACTGCTGTGTGGCTACAGACAAGAGGCTTTACCTCTCTGAACCTGCTTCCTCGTCCACAAGGCGGGAGTCTTCCCCATGGGGCCATCTGAGCACTGCAGGGTGTTGGCATGTGGCCAGGGCTCTGGTCTGTGTTAGCTATTTATGGGACATGGGGTGCACATAGAGGTCCCACTTCTTTATTCCACGAGCTTTCTAGAGGCAGCGGTGTGTGTGTGTGTGTGTGTGTGTGTGTGTGTGTGTGTGTGTGAGTAACAGGAGTGCTGTAGCTCTTTGCACAGTTGGCAGAGACCAAGCACCCGTTGTCACTGCACACAGTGTTCTGGGCAGTGGATGGGAGGAACTCTATGGCAGAGCTTAGGAACCAGGATGCCCAGCCCTGTGACCATGTCTTGGCTCTGAACCCAAGCAGGAAAGACAGATGGAACAGCCATTCCTCAGGCCTCTCTGGCTGGCCTTTTCCCATCTGCCTTGACAAAGGCCACCAGAGGGGGCATTAAAGGGCAACGAGACAGTGTGCCAGGCCAGTTCTCAGCACAGCCATCCCTCCTTCTTGATGGACTTTTCTGTCCCTGGATTTGACCACCCATAGAAGAAAAGTATTTTGGAAAGCCGGATATGGTGGCATAAAAACCTTTCAGTGGCATATACCCATAGTCCTGGTACTCAGAGGCAGGAGGATTACTAGTTTGAAGACAGCCTGGCCTACACAACAAGATGCTTTCTTTCTCAAAAAACAAAAACCAAACAAAACACCAAAAACAATACCAAGAAAAAAATCAAAATAGAAAAAGGAAAAGAACAAAAAAAAAAAAAAAAAAGAAAAGGAAGGAAGACGATGTAGGTTGAAATTGCTGGTGTTATAAGCATGTGTGGGCTTTTCTTCTCATTTCTTGTCACAGGATGCTGAGATACAAAGGCTATGCGCACAGCATATCTATGACATTAGACACTGAACTCAATCCCCAGGAAACTTAAAGCATCTGACAAAATGCATGTGGTTCTATATGCCAATGTGCTATTTTAGAAATGAACGTGAGGATTTGGGTATCCAAGAGGCATTTGGGAGCCAGACACTGTTTCACATAGGAGTCAGTCCTTGGGACCCCCTACAGTGAAGTACCCATCACCTATTCCCTTCACACCCCCTTTATAGACACGGCAACTGAGGTGCTGAGACCACTGACTCCATGCAGCTCAAGTTATGGGGAGACCGACAGATGCTGAGGGCCTTCCTCCATTTAGGAGGGCTAGGGGCAGGGAGGTAAAGGCTACCCAACAGCTGACCTGCTTCTAATAGGATGAACCATGACACACTTGGCAAAGCTATATATTCATATATATATCTCCGGAGCCATCCCTGTGGCCCTGGCTCAGAGATGAAATGACACAGCCTCTGACCCCAGCTGCTCCCAGCCCAGCCTAAGAACCAGACATGACATCATTGAGGTCATCTTTCTATGGCCAGCAGCATCTGAGTCCCCTGTGCCATAATGGAGGGTGCTGGGTGGAGCCTTCTCCCTCCTCTCTCAGCCCCACATCCGCATCCCTGCTTGCCCTTTACCCCCACTCAGAGGTCCCTTGTCCCAGAAAGCGTACAGTCCTCGCTGAATGCGGCTCCTCTTACTTCTTGGAATATTTGGGGTCTGCCCTGGCCTCTGTCATATCTGCGAGTCCACTGTGGGAAGAGACCCTAAGGGAGTTGCTTCCCATCCCTGGTGCCTGTGAGGCCCAGCACAGGGAGCGTAGACAGACACATGGCAGCAGTTTTCAGGGCACCGTGGCCTGGCAGTTAAGCCTGGCTTCTGCAGGCTTCAGACGGCTTTCTCACCCATCTGTGTGCTAGGTAGGGACCTTCTGCTCCCCAAGTTACACAGTAGCATCTCCAGGGTTAAGGCAGGATCATCGCTAGGGGAAGGTGGCTCACTTGGTGAAGAGCTTGCTCTGCAACCATAGGGCTTAAGTTCAACTCCAGCACCGTAAGAAAACAAAACAAAAACTGTAGCAGCAGCTGAAATGTCTGTACCGAGGAGGCAGGGGCAGAGCCATGCAAGGGCCTTGCTGGTTAACCAAACCAGTAGAATCTGAACTCCAGATACAGTGAGAGATACTGACAAAAAGAGATGGAAGATGACACCTGATAACTACCTGTGTCCTCGCAAGCATGCTTACATACATGCATGCTCACTCGTGCACACATAAAGACACATGTGCACACACCAGTGTGACCACCACTGGGACTGAGTGCTCAGTCCAGGCTCTCAACACGTAAGAGTTTCAAGTGGCACTTCATACTGTCAGACAGCAAGTCTTCCCCTGACAATGGGCCTCTCTTGCTTTCCCTCCCTCCCTCTCCTTCCCTACCTCTTCCCCTCCCTCCCTCCCCCTCTAGCACTAGGGATGATGAACCCCAGGCGCTAGCTGAGTGCTCCTCCACCATGTGGCATCCCTGTTCCCAGTGCTCATTCCTTGGATAGGCTCCCAGTCTACCAAGTATGGTGACAATCAAGCTCACGTCCAGGTCCCTTGGGCTCAGAGCCCCAGTGAAATTTTCCAAGAGGCTTTCATTTAACAAAAGTGTTTTTCTGTAATGAGAGGCACGCTCAAGCCCCAGAGGAGCAGCCCTGAATGCAAGCGCAAGGGAGTTGGCTGGTTGGGAAAAAGGGAGACTTTCATTAACAGTCTCACTGGGGTTAGAGTCCATTTGTCGAGACCGGAGGACCCCCACAGTGGAGGTCAGAGCCTTCAGTTCAAATCCTGTGCACCCTCGGGGGTGACGCTTCACTCCTAAGCCCTGACGGCTTTCTGTGTCCCCTTGCCAAGCTAACTGCCCATAGCCTGATGTCCACTGCTTCCTAACACACTGACATGTTCTGGGATCTGAATGTCCCTGCTTTGTTGATGGGGAGCCTGAAGTTTAGACAGAAGTCACATGCTAGAAGTGCACAGCTGGGAGGTGACAAAAGTCAGATTTGAGCCCTGCACCCAATCTCTGCCTCTGGCACCTCCAGGTTCACAAACTCTCCTAGAAGCCTAACTGGGTTGCTAGAGGCTGACATGGGACTAGTTGGAAGCCTGCCCTGGCAGGGCTCAGAGGCTGCGTGGGTCACTGTCCCTATACAAAGTCCGCAGGTCAGGAAGTTTGTGTCTAATTAGTGCTGACCACCAGGACAGGAAGGTCTATATCTAACTCATGGTGACCACCAGGCCCAGAGAAGGCTTTCTGAGCTCTGTTTCCACACATTTTGGAGGCAGTATTACTTTGTAGCCCAGGCTAGCCTCAAACTCATGATCCTCTTGCTTCAGCCTCCCCACATGCCTGGGTTATAAGCATGAGTCATTTCATTCTCCACATTTCTAATTTTAAAAATCATTTACTTATTTATTTGACATGTGTATGGAGGCCTGAATGTGTCCATGTTCATGTGTGGTCAAAGGACAGTTTTGGGAACTCGATTCTCTTCCACCGTGTGGGTCCCCAGGACTGCACTCTGGTTGTCAGACATGGCCGGCGAGTGTCTTTGCCCGCTGAGCTGTCTCACCGGCCTAGTTTCCATACTCTGTAAAGCAAGAGCAGCAATGCCTGCTGGGAAGAGGCCCTCCCATGTGGGTGAGTGTCCAGAGCCACCCCCACAGCCTGTGTGGCATCTGCACGCACTCACCTGTGTTTCGCCCCTTATGCTGGTGCCCACACGGTATGGCAGCTGTTGTGGGTAGAGCCACTTGGTCCTAGGTTCAAGGGCTCTGCTCTCTCCAGCAGGGGAACCTTGGCTGAGTGATTCCCACCTCTCTAAGTAGCTGTTTCCTCCTTACTGGGCTCTGGGTTTACCTGCTGCCTCTTCTCCACCATTCCCACCCCCTGCAGGTATTTGCAGCTGTGCATAGTGACTGCCTGGCTGGGAACTCACACTGGAATTCTGTTCTGCAACAGCCAAGAGTGAAGGTCTCTAAAGGTAGGGACTCACATCTCCAAAGGGTCATCAGCAGGGTGGGGTCAGGGGAGAATGCTGGGATGCCTGTCCCCGAGGCTTTGGACGTGTGAGTGGAACCATGGTCATAGCAACAGGCTCCCTTCTCCACTGCATCAGAGCTGGTGTGATAGTCTATACCCCAGGGGTGTGTGAATGACTAATTATCTCACACAGATTACAGAGGAAGGAAGGGTCCTTAGGAGGCCAGTGAGACTTAGTTTAGGAACCCAACCTTTTTCTGTGGAGGTGGAGGATTTCATCATTGGCTTTGTTGAGATTTGTATTAGTGATTTTATATGGCTGTGATTAAAACACCACAGCCAAGGTGATCTATAAAAGAAAGTACTTAATTGTGCTCACTGTTTCAGAGGGATCGGGTCTATAATGGTGGAGCAAAGGCATGACTGCAGGCAGCTGAGTGTCCATATCACAAGCAGGAGACAGAGAGAGCACCACCACCATCCTGCCATGATGTACCTCCTCTAACAAAGACACCCCTCCTAATCTTTCCCAAACAGTTCCGTCAAATGGGGCTGAATATTCAAGCACGTAAGCCTAGGGTGGCCATTCTTATTCAAAACACCACGTGGTTCCTACTGCATCCCCCCCATCTCTGCATCTTCAGCTTGTTTGGGGCTCAGCTCCATCTGGCCTCACATTCCTACTTGGACTTGTGGGGTCCAGCTGTTACTGTCTATATATGCTAATGAGTATGGTAGTGCCGGGCTTGCAGATGTTTGTGAAAGAAATAAAGTAGGCCAGGTGTGGTGGCACACACCTTTAACTCCAGCACCTACGGGCAGAGGCAGGTGGATCTCTGTGAGTGAGTTCAAGGCCAACCTTGTCTACAGAGTAAGTTCCAGGACTGCACAGTAAGAAGTAGAGGGTAGGAGGAGGACAAAGAGGAGGAGTAGGGGGAGGAGGAGGGGGAGGAGGAGGAGAGAAGAAGGGTGAGTAGAAGGAGGACTTGGGGAAGGAGGAGAAAGGCGAGGAGGGTGAGGAGAAGGAGGACTAGGGGGAGGAGGAGAAGAGGAGGAAGGGAGTGGTCATAGCAGTGGGAATAGAAGGCCAGGGAGATGGTTATGAATACCAAATGAACCGAGGAACTTCATGTTCCGTGTCTCCTCTGCCATTACCCTCTGCCCTTCACATACACCTACTACATGAACACATGTACGTACACATATGACAGGCAATGAATACAAAGCAAAGAAATGAAACGACAGAGGGGAGATGGCTGACTTACGGCCCTGGCCTCTCTGTTGCCAGGCAACGCCTCAGCACCTGTCTGTCGAGGTCTAGCCTGTGACCCTGTCATCTCTTGCAGAGATGGAGTACGATGCTTACAACGATTCCGGCAGTTACAATGATGATTACACAGACATCTTCGACCCCATTGTGGATTTTGAGGAGGTGAATCCACTAGAGGCCAAGGTGGCCCGTGTCTTCCTGGTGGTGATCTACAGCGTGGTATGCTTCCTTGGGATCCTAGGCAATGGCCTGGTGATTGCCATTGCCACATTCAAGATGAAGAAGACAGTGAACACTGTGTGGTTCGTCAACCTGGCCGTGGCTGATTTCCTGTTCAACATCTTCCTGCCCATCCACATCACCTACGCCGCTATGGACTACCACTGGGTGTTTGGGAAGGCCGTGTGCAAGATCAGCAGCTTTTTGCTCAGCCACAACATGTACACCAGCGTCTTCCTGCTCACGGTCATCAGCTTTGACCGCTGCATCTCTGTGCTGCTTCCTGTCTGGTCCCAGAACCACCGCAGTGTCCGACTGGCCTACATGACCTGTGTGGCCGTCTGGGTTCTGTCTTTCTTCTTGAGTTCCCCATCTCTTGTCTTCCGGGACATAAACAATATGCATGGGAAAATAACCTGCTTCAACAACTTCAGCTTGTCTGCCCCTGCTTCTTTTCCACACTCCACTAACTCCCAGGTGGATCATGTAGGGTTCAGCAGACACGTAGTGGTCACCGTCACCCGCTTCCTCTGTGGCTTCCTGATCCCCGTCTTTATCATCACCGCCTGCTATCTCACCATCGTTTTCAAGCTGCAGCGCAATCGCCTGGCCAAGAACAAGAAGCCCTTCAAGATCATCATCACCATCATCATCACCTTCTTCATTTGTTGGTGCCCCTACCACACACTCTACCTGCTCGAGCTCCACCACACGGCTGTACCGAGCTCTGTCTTCAGCCTGGGACTGCCTCTGGCCACTGCCATTGCCATCGCCAATAGCTGCATGAACCCCATTCTCTACGTCTTCATGGGCCACGACTTCAAGAAATTCAAGGTGGCTCTTTTCTCCCGCTTGGTCAATGCCCTGAGTGAAGACACGGGAGCCTCCTCCTACCCCAGTCACAGGAGTTTCACCAAGATGTCCTCATTGAATGAGAAGCCTTCAGTGAATGAGAAGGAGACCAGCGCACTTTGAGCCCTATTGGCAATGCCCCCATGGGTGCCACAGCCCAGGGACACCCAGGGATACCCAGGACTTGTCTCTTGAAGCAGGAGACATGATAGGAACCTTTCTGGTATGCTCCAATGCCCACTACATTTTGTATATGTGCTCATGTTTTGAGTAGGATTCCAGAGTGTGGACACGGACACTCTTCCAGCAAAATGGAAGTCAGATCAATCTGAGCCTCTGGAGCAGGAAGAGTAGGGGACCAGCTTTGACTGACTCAGAAGAGAACAGGGTTCTCCATCTGGGCACATAATTTCCTGTGCGTGCTGCAGAGTCTCTAGTGTGGGTGAAGAACTCAGCGCAAACCCATTGCAGACCTGTTAGAGCCACAGGGCAGTCAAGCCAGCAAGCCTCCCCTCCACTGCCACCATCCTCCAAGAACTTGACTTTGGATTTCAGACGAGCTGGGAAGACCAGGACCTGAGGGGCTGCATGGAACCCTGCAAGGGCGAGGCCAGCTATGGGTGGTGGTGGTGACAAAGAAATGGAGGAGAGCAGAAACCCAAAGGATGGAGGCACAGAACATCAGCAGCATGCCACAGGGAGATGGTGCTCTAGTTTGTGGGTTCAGGTGGTGGCAGCCCTTTGCTCCCGTGCCTATTGTCACCTGAGGCTGGTGGGGAGGAGGACATCCTCGCCAAAGCTTCCTCTCCATCTCAGGGTCTCTTCTCTCCTTCCCTAATCCTCTCCGCTCTGGCTGGAAGGTCTTAGAATACACCTCCCTGGGTGGAGGGTGGAGGGCAGAGGGAGGAAGGTGAGGATGTCATCTCCCCCATCCATCCTCTTTAAGCTTCCTGGAGACTAGAGAGTGGAGTTTTGAGACTCCAGGCTCAGAGCATCCCCCAAAGCTGTCTCTGGGGGCTCGGCTGTGAAGCTGATGAGCTGACTGGCTCCTCCTTGAATCACGCTTCCCAGGTGAGGCGGCACAGCCTTGGGAGCAGCCCATGGATGGACTTTCTTCCCCAAATCAGACACTTTCTCCTGGCAGGGAAGTCAAGACTTGAGGAAGGGAAATGACTCACTCAATACTCTTAGTGGCAGACCTGAGCCCAGCTCTGCCTGGCTGCCTTCATCCCTACACTGAGGATTTGATACCCTGCATTATTTAAACATATTAAACTTAAAACATTTACCATGCATTTAAAGTGTTTCACGTGTATCTTCTCATTTATTCTTCACAGAAACCCTGATTTAGGTCCTTATACATATGAGGAGTCAGAGACTCAAAGAGGTTAAGTAACCGGGCAGTGGGACCAAGTGAGATGTTGGTAGGCTGGATTTGGAGTCAGAAAGGAACTAGTGGTTTGGGGTTTTAGCCATAAATATTGGCTCTTTAGTGGATCCATATGAACACTTTAATAGTCTTTATGAAGCTTTGCATGTTGATTTCAGAGTAACCCAACATGCAAAGAAAATGCGCTTGATCTCCAGCCTCCACTCTTCCTGATTCCTGTCACACACACACACACACACACACACACACACACGCGCGCGCGCGCGCGCGCGCGCGCGCGCACTGAAATCTGGACAAGCAGAAGGAGGAGCCTGGCAGGGGTAGCCCTTCTGGGTCCATGGCCTCCCGGTCCATGGTGTCCACCTTTGGTTCTCTTCCAGGCCACTCCTCCGTCAGGATGTAATACGCAGATGTGTGTCCTCTGGCCTGGCAGCTCCTGAACTTTAGGCTGCTAGAACTCACACTCCATCAGGGGACAGGCTGCTCCTCCCTTGTGGGGTCTTGAGATGAGCAGTTCTGAACTGATCCACGCTGGAACTTCTGATCGCTTCAGAGGGCCTGAACTTACAGGGATTGAGAACAAAGAGGGAGGTTTAAAAATAGCCTTGAGTTAGTTCCCATTGTCCTTCCCAGGGCCCCAGATGTGAACTGAGGCATGCCACAGCGTGGGATTCATCATGCCGCAGACATCAGGGTTGGCCAGGCCAGGCAGGGGACGGTTGGAAAAGCTGACAAACAGGAGAGTGACACTGGCCAAACCCTCTTCCTCCTGACTGTCATAACACCCTATTCCTGCAAAGTGCTAGTTGAGACCTCCAGTCTTGTCCTTGTGGCTTCCCACAGCAACCCCCATCTCCCGGGACCCATGCGTAATCCTTGCAGCTGGCCCCCTGTGTCCCTGCAAAGACTGACCAGGACAGCACCTTCTCTGGGACTGGGACCCAGCAAAGTGCCTCACTGATGCCTCCTGCGTGGGGGATGGGCTGAGAGACCAGAGAAACAAGACACGATGTGGGGGGACAAGAAAGGAAGATCACTAGAGTGTGGGGGAGGGGAGCAGGGCTTTCTGAAGCAGAGAGGACCCATGCTTCTGAGCATCTAGGTGCCAATGAGCCTTCCAGTCTCTGCCTGGACCTGGCAGAGGTGGACATTGTGTCCCTTCGGGTCATGCGGAAGGTGAAGTCAGGGCCACACAGCTAGGAAGTGGCGTGGGGTATGTGTGGGGGGCACTTGGAACCAGCTCTGCTGCCTGAGACCCCACCTTTGTCAACCCAAGAAAGCTACATGGGAGGGAGGGAGAAAAGAGGAGGGGAAAAGAGACAGCGGAACCTCCACCTCCTTCCCACTAGCCGGGCTCTCCTGGAACTCCTCTAGTTTATCCCTAGGGTTCCCTGTTCAGAGAGGGACTTTGGAGTCTGGTTCTGCGGTTCAGATGGAGCTCTCTATCCTTGTGGAGAGAACCACTGCGAGGTGTGATGCTTGATCACAGGGGGTCAGGGACCTGTCCTTAGGAAGGGATTGTGTTTACCTGGGGAGAGTAGGTCAGTGTTGAGATGGTGGGGGGGGGGTGTGATGCTCCAGGTAGAACTAAAGGAGGACCAATGCCGAGGGAGAGCCATGCAGGGGTCTGTGGGTTGGACTGCAGGACAGTAAGCAGAAGGCAGCAGAGGACCAGAGCTGGGGAGGCCCAGGTGGGGACTGACCTGCTTAGACCTGCATGTTGAATCCCTCCCCTCTCCGCTCTAGAAAGCACTGGGGAAAGGAAGCTGGGAGGCAGGCTGCACAGCAGAGGTCTCTGGACTGGGAACGTTGGAGAGAGTGGAGAGTTTAGGGAGGTATTTAAAAGCTCTGAGCTCTCTCAGGGGAGTGGTTAGCGGGAAGCCAACCCTGGGCCCATCTGTGCAGCACAGAGGTCCTGCTGCATCAGTTTGTTGATGGAAATTAATTGTAAATATTATTCAAATGTACCTCCCAGTGCACAATTATACTTCTCAGGGGAGTTCTGAGTACATGGGGAAACTCTGTAAATAATACATACATTAGCTCGGGCGCACAGAGGCGCGCTGAAGCTGCTGCCTGTGGGAGCTGTGGGAGTTACTCAGAGCATCTGCGCTGGAGGTTAGCCTTGGACAACCAGCTCTGTCTCTCTGAGGATGGGCACAACTCTAGGCATGCCAGCCTGGTCACTGGCCAGGTGGGGACACAGAGCTGGCAGGGGAGGAAGACACACAGGTCAGAGCATGCCCAACTGGCCTGGGAGGCTCAAATAGTGGCTGTAGTAATCGTGTGATTACTTGGGCATGCTCAAGCTTGGGGCAAGCATTTCTGTTTCACAATCTCACTGAATCTTCGTAGGAAAGACCATGGAAGACTTTGTGCTAAGACCTAGTGCCGTGTCAGCAGACGGATGAAGTTGAGAGATTCAGACAGGTGAGGTGAACTGTGCTAGTGAGAACTGAGAGCCAAGCCCTGTCTGTCTGTCTGTCTGAAAGCTCTTGCTTTCTCCAGAAGTTACTTGGTCAGCCTCTGCCCACCCCCATTAGCTTTCGAGGTGGGGTGGTGATGAGCCTGAGGGACTGCCTTGCCCTTGGAGGGGAGGACGTGATGTTCCCAGACTCGTCAGTTCCTCTCAGCCTCTGGGCTTAGGAGTTCGGAAGAGACACTACTTCAAGCTCACCCTTTCTCAGTCAGCACCCTATTTCCCAGACTGTGAAACTGAACAGGATACAAATAGTCGGGGGACACTCCCCACCACACACCCACACTTCAATGAGAGTGCTGTGAGCATGCTCCTGAGAGTCACCTTTAAAATTTCAGTTTGGATATCCGAGGCTCACCAACCTGCCCTCTTCATGGCTAAACTTTGAATACCAGCTTTGGCAGCCATTTGCCCAGGGTCCATCAGAATCCTGGCTGAAACCGAGTCTTGGCAAAACCCACATCGGAGCAGAAACAAGATATTTCTAAGACATCTTCACTGTTGCCCTGGTAAGGGTGTCTCTGAACCTGAGAGGTAATGGCAGGGACACCTCCATATAACAAAATCTCAGTCTGTGTATCTGAGATGAATGTCTTATGAAAAGAATGAAGGATCTTGTAGATGGTGTCCGAAGGAGTGACCTTCCGTCCACACCCCTGCAGATGGCAGGGGGAAAGCAGACATGGAGCTTTGTGGGCAGATGGGAATGGTGCCGGTGGAATCCACGCAGAGAGTGAGCGCTCACAGATAGCCAGGTTTAAAGGCCTCTGTGATGGCAATGACTTGGCAAGAGAGGCCCCTTTCTCTGCCTGCGTGGGCTGGAATCCCACCCGCACTGTGCACAGCAATCGGGGCCGGGGGGGGGGGCTTGAAACACCTCTGAAACTCTTTTTTCCCTGTATGGATGGTTGGTATCTCTGGGGTGCTGCAAGGCTTCAGGAGTGCTGAAACTCTTCCTTTCCTGTATGGATGGTTGGTAGCCCTGAGATGCTGCAAGGCTTCAGGAGAACAAGTGCTTGGCCATCATTCCCGTGGGCCAGCATCAAACCCCTCACTGGCCAGGACCACTGGCTCACAAGTTTCCATCTCAGAACACACCCAGCCTTTGCTGCCATGACTCACAGAGCCTTGGAGAGCCAGCCACCAACTCCTTCCCCGTGACATCAATTGCTAGTCAGCCCGCTGTCTTCACTGGCCCCCGGAATCTAACCAGGGCAAACAGGTAGCCACCAACGTAACCACTCCCCAGGTTGTTCTTTTGGGACCATCCTGCTTCTGGTGCTGGCTTTACCTATGTACTTCTCAACTCCCCTCAAATGCCACCTCCTCTTGGGCATGATGACCACTTGTAATCCAGAAATCAAAAAGCTGAGGCAGGAATTTGAAGCTAGCTGGACTACAGAGATCTGACCTCAAAAAGAAAAGCCCAAGCCAAAGCATCAAGTCACTCCCTCAGCAACCTCCTCTGAGGTAGTCTGACCCCTGCTCAGGGTCACAGACGAGATCTCACTTCTCAGTGGCATGGGCGTCAAAACCACTTTCCTTATTATGTATGTAGTTGTCTCTTGTCTGTCCCCTATTGGAAGAGGATCTTCCCTGGGACAGGAGCCCATGTGCCCCACTCGCCCTGCTTTCCCGGCACCCACAACAGAGCTCAGCTTGGAAAAGCTGCTTGCATTTTACTATCTCTGAATGGGACGAAATTCCTTTCCCCTTGATGTGGTTCCTCGGTCCCCTGTTGTAACCTCACAAGACTTCTCCTTTGTGTGGAGAGGGTGGACCAGATCATTGTATGAATTGGGGGAGCTGTGGCTCTTCCTGAAGCCACTGGGAACCATGGGGGGGCAGAAGAGGTTCTCATTAATGGCCTTCTTTCCTGGTTGTCTGGTTTATTGCAGTTTGGGAATAAAAGAACCAGCTACCTCCAGCCCCGCACCCTCCCCATTGTTCTCCAGACCAGGATTCTATTAAAGGTTTGGCAGGCATGGCTGTGACCACAGACTTCCTGTGTTTACCCTTCCGCTTGGAAATCGGGCATGGAGTCTGTGTTGGCTGTGGATGGGGTCCCCTGGCGCCCTGAGGCTCTGCAGCCCAGATGTGCTAGGAGAGACAGGCATAGGTTTCTCTGTGACCTGGTTTCTGCTGCACAGATGTTTGGCATCCTACAGCATCTGGATAGCCGAAGGAATTTCTGATTTGATTCCAGATGTTGAAGGAGACAGGAAAAGGGACTCGAGGCCTAAGTGTTTGGCTGTTAGCAGGGATGGCTGGCTCTTGGTCGCAGCAGGTGTTTACAATAGAAGGCTCTGGCCAGTCACGGATGCCTCACTTGGAAGGGCTGACTGGGGGTGGGCTTTCAGGCATGGTGAGGAGAGGCCGGAGACAACGGCACATCAGTCGTCCTAGGTCACTGTCCTTAGAAGCCT